CCCGCTCGGCTGGACGGAGCTGGGCTGTGGGCGCTGGCACCGCGCACGGTGGGATGCTCCGGACCCCCCATGCCTCGCCTGGCCCCGCGGAGGCACTGGGAAAGGTGTCACCCTGAAACCAGCAGCCGGCGAGGGATGGGGTGGCCGTGGGGCAGCAGAGAGGGATCCCCCCATTTTATCCTTGTGGGGAGCCAGGCGGTGGGGTCCTGCCGCGGGCTGTCCTCTCGGCCCTGCACTGACCCTGCCCGGTCCCCCTCGCAGATGCCAGTGAGCCTCTCCACGGCCCTGCGCGTCGTCGGGACCAGCCTCTTTGCCTTGGTGGTGCTGGGGGGCATCCTGGCCGCCTACGTCACGGGCTACCAGTTCATCCACACGGAGAAGCACTACCTCTCCTTTGGGCTCTACGGGGCCATCCTGGGGCTGCACCTCTTCATCCAGAGCCTCTTCGCCTTCCTGGAACACCGGCGCATGCGGGGCGAGGGGCGGCCGGTGCGGCTGGGGCGCTCGGTGGCCCTCTGCATCGCCGCTTACCAGGAGGATCCCGACTACCTGAAGAAGTGCCTGCGCTCCGTCAAGCGCATCGCCTTCCCCGACCTCAAAGTGGTGATGGTGGTGGACGGGAACGGCCCCGACGACACCTACATGTTGGACATCTTCCACGACGTGATGGGCTCCGAGCACTCAGGCAGCTACGTCTGGAGGAGCAACTTCCACGCGCAGGGCGAGGGGGAGACGGAGGCCGGGCTGCGGGAAGGCCTGGCCCGTGTCCAGGCGCTGGTGCGCAGCACCACCTACTCCTGCATCCTCCAGAAGTGGGGCGGGAAGCGGGAGGTGATGTACACGGCCTTCCGGGCGCTCGGAGACTCCGTGGATTACATCCAGGTGGATGCACGGGCCGGGTGGGTGGGTGCGGAGGGTTGAGGGCAGCGAGCGCCCTGCCTGCGTGACCCGGCAGAGGGTCTGCGGGAGGAGCAGGAGCGGCCGAGCCTGCGGCAGCACCTGGCTGCCTGGCTCAGGATCCGGCCCCGTCCACCGGCTGCGAGCCACCGGCACCGGGGTTGAGGGGCGAAGTGCCACCGGGGTGGCCCGAGGGGTCGAGCCCTGCCAGAGGGTTTCACATCACCTCCTCGGCGCATCCCCTGTGTCAAGGGCAGGATGTGCCCCAGGCTGGTGTCACCCCGTGTGGCACCATGCAGGGTGCCAGGCCCCCCACGCGTGGGTGAGGGGTGGCGGCTGGGACGGGTCCCACTGTGGTGCATGTGGCGGGGCTGGGTGGCCCAGGGCAGCGGTGGCCGGGCACCGCAGGGCGCTCCGCTCCCTGCCACCGCCTGCCGGTCTCCGGGGCTCTGCCTCATCTCGCCGGCCGCGGCTCGGG